AAATCATACTAGCATAACACATCCAGATAACAATCCATAGGGTCGGCCTTGGTGCCTTAGACCCTTGTGTATAGTGAGGATAACTCACCTCGCAAGTAGTGTCGAAGTACTGAAAATCTCTGATTGCTATCTCACCGGAAATCCCGAACTATAACACAATAGATACTAAGTCAATACACAAAATAACAGTCTTGACTACAGTCCACACAATCCATCATGACCTTTCTCTCTATTGGGCCAAGGCCCAATGCCGAATCCAAAATCTTGAAAGTCCTTATGTAAAGCCCATTATTGGCCCAATTTTACCAAATTGGGCCCAATTCCCTAATTGGGCCTAATCCCAAGATCCATTATCAAAATTTGGCCCAAAACATCTTATTCATAAAATCCAGCAAAGGTCCAAATCCAATTAGCCCATAAACAGCCCAAACCCGAAGCCCAATTGTCAAAGGTCCAACAGAGGACGTACGCGGGGCGTACTCCTCTGGTACGCGGGGCGTACTCGCCCAGATGTTTGACCACCATCGGGGTGGTTGACCCAGTACGCTGGGCGTACTGGATTTACGCTGGGCATACGTAGTGTTTTGCCAAAATCTTATTCAGTGGTTAATGGCTTAAGCACTTAAGCCCAAACTTCAGATCCAGTGACCTAACGTGTCTAGGACCCATAAAGTCACGAACTTTATTACTTTGGACGTCCAGAAAACTCTTAATACTTGGTCTTAATCCATTAAGACCTTCTTACTCCATGCATGGGACACATTCAGCTGTTGGGACCTCATTTTTATCACTCAAAGCCCCTTCAAGAGTCTAGAAGGACAGTTATTTTCGTCCCAATCACACCATGCACCGTCTTGGGACTTTTTGGGACAAGAAATGGTCCTTTAAAGCAAAATGGCAAGATCTAAACATATATGCATAAAGTTTGAAGCTTTTTACCTTCTGGAGCTTCTAGGGCACAACCCAACTTCAGATCTACAAGCTTGATCTTCTTCTCCAACTCCTTGATGCAACATATTCTTCTTAAAACACTCAATAAGCTCAAACACTCAAGGAAAAGGCTAGGGTTTGGGGAAAACGACTCTAAGTAGTGGAGGCTGGGGTAAGGGAAGGTTAGGTCATAATGTTGCTTATACAGCCCCCAAACCCTGAATATTAGGGTTTCATCCTGACATTAGTACGCCCATCATACACAATTTTACGCCCAACGTACTAAGGCGTACCTTAGTACGCTTAGCGTACTCTTATGTACGCGCAACGTACTCCTTCTTGGCCCAATGTTGCAACTTTGGCCCTTAAACTTATCTTGACTCTACACTTCCAATCCCAAGGACTATAAATGACAAGGTAATGATAGAGGACGGTTCGGAAATACCTGCAAAAATCTCGGGATGTTACAAGACGTTTAGTCAACATCTTCTTCTACAGATTTGGTTTGTAGACTATAGAAGTTTACCTCTTCAAAAACAAACAACACCTTAGTTAACTAGATTTTGGACCTTAATTGTGATAATATTAAATATCTAGGGTTAAGTTAAGAATGATTAGGTTAGAAATGCTTTATTTGGTGCCATTTTAGACCCATGTAGAAGTTTAGGAAATTAAGGGACTTAAGTTGCCAATTGGTGAGAGTTTTGAAAATTTAAACCCCAACCTTTTCCCCCTCTTTCGTGTGGACGTTTTTTTTAGAAAATAAGGGATCAGAATAACAATAAATACAGATTTGGATAGATTCAAGGATCGTGTTTATGAACACTTTTCGAAATCTGTAATTCGTCCCTATAGCCTGGGGTACACGAATTCAAACGTGGGATAATCCAAGAATAAATCAATCCGAATTACAGGCCTAATTCGAATTGAAAACACAGAATACCTTGCATGATGTGTTCTTGAGATATAGAGAAATTATGATATAATTTTGAGATATGAATGTCCAACCCTTTTTCTGGAACATCCACATGTTATTTATACTTGAGGGAAAGGTGGTTAAAATCGGTTAAACCAAAATTGGCGCCAAAACATGATAGTTATTGGACATAACCGACACTTACATCATCATGATGTCATCAGTGGGTTTTTGGCGGGAAAATGCATGGTGGGAGTCTCATATGATACAAAAATCCATTTAGGTTTTGGGACGTTGCCCCGAGCCCCGCCAGGGGCGCAGCCCCTTGGAACCCTGCATCCATGGGCGCTGCCAACGAACCCTCGTATTTCCGAGTACATAATTATCACTCTGAGTGTGCACCCCACACCTCCTAGCTCGGTTAGTAAATGGAGTTCGGTCTATCTCATTATTACTAATAATTACACCAAATTATGTTGATAACACTAAAATCACCAACAATTTTTCACCATGAAGAAGAGGCGGAACTTAATTTTAATGAGAAAAGTCAACTTAGAGAGTAGAATTGAAGCTCTATTGAAGTCCTGACACTTAACCATTAAAAAAAAAGCTTGTAAGGTAGCAATTTCACCCATCTTCTAGTCAATTAATCTATAGAATTGTGAATCATCATCAAATCCGAATCCATTATTTAATGTCATGATTATTTTAAGTTTAGTGTTGGTTATAAGCTTATAACACTAATCTAATGATGTAGTTCATCTCCATGGTCAAAAATTTAGTTATGAACTTTTAATTGTGATTTTTATCCTCTAGCTTCACGATTCAACCATGGATGATGGATCCAATTGAATTCGACTTTAGTCATTGAAATAACTTAATGTAATTTTTTGGATAGAAGTTTGATGTTGTAAAGCGCAAATCAAATGTTGGAATCTCCAATTTTGTCAAATTTGGTTTTATGGAATATTAATGGAATTTTTAGTCAAAATTCGGATCTTTTTTTTTTAAGTTCATCATATTCCGAAACTAATCATGTTAATAAAGTTTAATTATGTTTTGGAGTGAGGTTACCATTCAAAGTTCAAATCATATAATTGGGATAAAAAAGGAACTGATCTTGAAGAAACTAATCTCGGTGGTTGGATAAAAAAATATATTAATAGCCAAAAAGTAAAGTATATATTTGTTTGTTGAACGTGCATATAGATTATTATAATGTAGATGATTATAGCAAAACAAAGTCATATTTATTTGTATTTCTTTATCTTTTAAAATTATTTTTTATCAAAAAAAAAAAAAAAAAAAAAAAAAAACTTTATCAAACTTCATAACTTTTGTACTTTATAAATAGAAAGACTTATCCACATCATACATATATAAACAGCAATTTTTTTTTTTCAAAACATTTAGTTTGTTGAGATTCTTGTATGAATTTGAACTAGTGAATTTTTCTTTTTAATACGAGTCTATTGACTTATACATGTGAATCTGGATTATATGTATCTAAATGATTGTTGATCTCGACATTGAATTTACATGTAAATTCAAATTAGTATTCACAATTTCACATATATATGCACAAGCATACGCACACACAAGTCAACACCTACATGCCCGTACACTCCCCCACATGTATGTGTATGTGATTATAACATATCATTTTTATTAGGGATGACGTTCTGGTCTTTGTTTAGTTAATTTTTTTTTGTTTGTTTGTTTCGTCTCTTCTCCTTTTGATCAAGGATGACGTTTTGGTCTTTGTTTAGTTAGTTTTTTTTTTATGTCTTTGTTTTGGGGCATGTCCCTTAGCTTAGGCTCGTCTTTTTTTCTTGGGCGTTTGCCCTCTTTCTTTTGTAATTCTCTTCTTCTTTTTAATAAAATTTGCCTTAGTGGTTTCCTTTTTTACAAAAAAAAAAAAAAAGAAGAGGGTTTTGGGCCCTATGACCATCCCTACTTATTATACTTGAATCGGAGATTTCCACTCCAAAGCCTACAATCGAAGAACTCGGGTGACATAACATTAAAAGTTTAAACATACAAAGAGGGGTTTTTGGCACTGTAGCACGACGAAGTTTGGCCACTTTGCACATTATGTCACACATGTATAGCTTGTTTATACTTTCTTCACCATCATGGTCCACATATAGGGAAATAAAACCATCGGCTCCAAAAACATTAAAAATGAAACTAGCATAATCTTCATCGTTACGAATAGCAGTTATCCCAGATACTAAGGGCTTACCTAGCTCACAGTAGTATAGCTTGTTTATACTTTCTTGCATGGGCCGTTCGAGAAAGGTGATACACTCAGAGTATGTCATTCCAAAAAAAATCATGATCTTTGAATGTGAATTTGATACCATGGTTATACGAGAAAGGATCTCGAAAAAAAACACCTTTGAAGTTGAGCTCCACTACAAGGTAGAGTCCATCAGGGTTTGGCCTCGAGGTTGACATTGTCGGTTGGTTGCGAGGTCATTGACTTCGATCGAAGGAAAATGTGTGGAACCCTAATTTTTCCATTCTTGGTCACTGATAGATGAGAAAAATGAAGAACGAATGAGTGTAGTGGCGTGTGTGAATAAATGTGATTATTTCGACTTCGATTTCTTACGTGGATAAGATAAGGTAAATATCTTATTTAATGTAATGTCACGTAAGAAAGACAACTAGTTGTTCTGTTTACCGGGTTCATAAAGGTGCAATTAGTTGGTATTTCCTAACGTTAAGGACTAATTGAGCATAAAACATACATGAATAACTAAATGTGCAAAGCCTACAATGCCAAAAACCCTACAAAGGGTGGTCTAAAGGTACCATCAATCAAATGAGTGGGTGCAAAAGTATTTATGGAATTGTTCTCCAAATAATCGTGTATTCAAACCAAATATAGATAACCAGGTTACATTACATATTAAAAGTATTTATGCAAAAGTCTTTGATTTTATGTAATAATTTAACTAGTAAGGTGGCAAAAGACACATCTAGTTTAGTTTACCAAAAAGAAGAGAAGAGGGTCGTTGCAATTCTACATTGGGATTTGATTTGATTTGATTTGATTTGATGAAATGTAAAAAGTTGAGTGCAATCTTCAAGGGATTTGATAAAGACAAGCAAGCAAGCAATTGAAGCAAGAGTAGAGTAGTGATTAGTAAATGATATTTAACGGTTTTCTAGTTTTATTGTTGCGTACAAGGATCAATTGGCTTACCTTGTTTATAGGTTGATATGAAAAGAGAGTGTAAAAGGTTACAGGCAATATAGTAGTATATTATATAAAGCATGAGAAAATGATTGCAAATAAGAAAGTTGAGTGTGAGTGTGTGAGTGTAACTTATAACGGGAATTCCTTCTGAAGAACATCAAGATTCCGGGAGTCGCAAGCTTCCATCATATCGTTCCTGGAAGCACAGCTGCAAAGCAAAAAGAAGAGAGGTTGGTTTGGTTGGTTATAATTTATAATACTCCAATAAATAAATAAATGTTTGATTCACCTTAGAGAAATTCTCAAGTACTGCCAGGCATTATCTGCCTTTGGATTCATTGCTAGTGCACGCACATAGTAGCGAATAGAGTCCTCATACATGCCCTGGTTTGCATAACTAATACCCATGTTTGCCCATGCGCGAACATAATTCGGCTTCAAATCCAATGCCTAACACAAGAAGCAGTAGCAGCATATCACATTTTTGTATAATAACGGTGCAAGAGCCAAGAGCCAAGAGCCTAGAGGGAGGTTATTAGTTATTACCATTTGGTATGCGTATATTGCATCAGCACTCTGAACACTGTTTGCTTGTGTTGCCCCAAGTTTGTTCCATAATGAGTAATCTCTTGGCTTGAGCTTTAAAGCTGTCTGGAAGGATTCAATGGCTTTGTCATATTCTCTTGAAAGGTTATACAAGACACCGAGTACTATGTGTACATCTGCATCCTCAGGTGACATTTGAGCTGCCTCGTTGAAAGTCCGAGCAACCTGTCATGCCATGTCATGTCATGTCATACAAAAGAAAATATATATATATATATATATATATATATATATATATTTTCACAAACTCACATCAGCGTAGTAGAGTGAATCGGAGAGTTGAGGAGGAGCGATTTTCCCATACTCTGGATGCTGGCGCAGCCAACTATACAAATATTTCAATGCAGCTTGTTGTTCCAATTCTGAGGACATTAATTAAATTAAACAAAATAATAATAATAAATAAATCAAACAAGTCAAGCTACTGGTTGGTTAGTGTGTGTGTGTGTAGATATACATACCATTTGTATGGCTGACTCCTAGTGCAAGAAGAACCTCCAGATTGGTGGGGTCAGCTTCATGTGCACGCATCATTGATGCAATTGCCTGGCATAACATTGATATTTATTTATGTATCAACACAAACACAATTATGCAAAAAGAAAAAAAGTAACCAAATCTAACCTACCTGTTGATCGTCATCATTCTCAGCATGTGCTACACCAAGCAACCTCCAACCTTCAGCATTCTCAGGGTTCTTCAAAACTTCAGCCTCTAAAGCAAGAACTGCTTCACTTAACAGACCTTTACGGAACAGCTCCTGGCCTTCCCTCAAAGGATCAGGATGCCCAACATAAGGATTTAAATCAGAAAATACATACACCCCCCTTGAACTCTCAGATTTCTGCTTCATAACAGCTTGTTCGTTTAAGTACCTACAACAACAATACCAATTTACCCAATCCATTCAACATTCAACCAACACCAATAATATTCTTCTTCCAACGCTTCTATGCTCCAAACTAACTCAACTCTCAAGGACTTCAAATACATTTTGGAAAACATAAATTATTCAACTTCAACCACCAGATGATGATGAATTTTATTTTCTTATTCACTTTTACTCGTATCATCAGGCTGTTTATATTATTATAGTAGGACTTCTCTTGTACTTTTTCTAGACCTCTTCTCCTTGAATTTGTATCTTATTTTTATGCAACAACTAAAACATCCCACTCTTTCAGGCTATGTGGCTAGGAATTAATAGGAAACTGAAGATGGGGTCAGTAACGGGTTGGGGAAGGAATACAAGTTAGTTCTACTTCTACACCGAAAGGAAAGGGGCTGTTGAGGCAGCCATAAATGCAAGGCGGCAGTTAGTGTTAGTCCAGGTATGTTGTATGGATTAGAATGTTTACAACAAACTTATTTAAAAACCAATAAAGCTTCATTTCATTTTCATAGGTGTAGACTACTTTTCGCTTCTCTTATCTATTTCCCCATACATAGGTGCGGCAGCCCACTAACTTAACTCAAAAGTCAAAATCAGCAAAAGCATTAATGAATTTTGAAAACTTAAAGCGATTTGGTTGTCTTGTCCCTCTTCTTCTTTTTTCATCTCCTCCGATTATCTTTTTTCCAATAAGAGGCAATCGGACTTTTTTCCAATAAGGTGATTAAGATGTTTTTCAGATAAAATGACAACTTAATGAACAAGAAAGCTAACTGCTACCAACTCACTTACAACTTAGAAGAAGAAATCAATACTCATTACTCAGGAAGGAACAGATAACAAAACTTACTCCAAGAATTGATTAAACACTCAAATCAACAAAGCTAAACCCAAAGGTTCCAAGACCAGAACTAGAACTTGACAAAAGATAACCTACACCGACACTCCTTCCATCTACTCCTTTATAAGCATTCTAAAGAAAATGCCCCTCCACTAATAACATGTTATTTATTTTCCCATACTACCCTTTTCTATAATTGGATGTGTAGCAGTAACTAACACGTTTATCTATCCAATGTCTGGCCCAATCAGACTTTAGACATCTATTTAGTGCTTATTGCAAAAAAAAAAAAAAAAAAAAAAAAGTATGCCTTAGGGTGAATATTAAGGGTTCTGGATATGAGGAGGAATTCCAAGGTTACTTATAGCCTAACATGAGCGTAGTGAAGCTAATAACTACAAGGGAAGCAGGTTTTCTTTAAATGATTATAAAACAGCAGATTGTTTTATGTGGAGAAAAGAGGATAGAAGTTACTCGTCATATGCAGATGCCCAATTATCAGCAGAATCATCTCCCAGAATGCCTTCACCAACCTGGCGACCAAATTCATCTGCCCAGTCGTTGACTTCCAACTTTGAAAACTCATTGACCCACTGCTCATCTACCGGGCCATGATGCACACGTTCGTTAGCAAATTCATCCGCCCACCTATCAGGAGCCCTAGAAACCTGAACACATTCATACACATTGATTATCGGATACCTGTTGATAAGATTAAGAGGAGAAAAGTTTTACTTGCCTCTTCACGTGCATACTGATCTGCCCAAGAGGTAGAGGAAGGGCCTGCATTATATTGCTGTTGATATTCATTTGCCCAGTCCCCACTTGCAGGCCTGACCTGGTTATCCTCAATAGTCAATTCCCCACGACTCATCTTTGAAACAAACTGAAGGAACTTGGAGTTCTGCATATTATTTGCCAAACCAAATAAATAATATCCTGATTATAAAAAAAAAAGACATGTTAATTTTAATTCAAAGTAAGTAAAGTAACCTGAAACTTTGGATTGGTGTTCTGAGCTAAAGTGTGTGCTAGCATTCGGGTCTGCTCCATAGCAGCCAAAGATGGAATGTTTGCACCTGCCATTCGGTCCACAGACGTCATCTGCGTTTGCTCCTGAAATCAATAACATAATAATTAATACTAATAGTAAGTCAGCATTCAACTATTTATTTTAGTTATTTAATAATTGAAGTGAAAGAGGTCACTGACATGCTGGAATTCAGAAGCCCAACCCCCAGCACCATGTTGTCGTTCAAAGGATAAAGCCCAAGCATTCGGGTCCCCACCGTGTTGTTGGGAAAATTCATCAGCCCAGCCATCTGCATTGGGCCTGGGCCCCATGACTTGCGACTCCCCCCAATACTGATCCAGCTCTGCATATCTACCAGGCATGTGCTCCCTAACCAACCCCCCATGATTATCGATCTCTAAAGAAGATAACAGAGCATTCACCTGAACAAGTATTAATGTATCAAGATTCAAGACTGTAGCTACTTCCTACCAAAATGAAACTAACAGATCAATCAATGTCTTCAGTTTCGCACCAACCATGTGGATGTGCTTGATTGTTTAAGGGCTACAAATCAAGATAATACTGAAGCCTCCTCAAACTAAACTATTTGTTAGCTTAATTTTCATGGTTTATATATATATATATATATATATATATATATATATATAACAAGTGCTCGAGGTTCATTTGTAGTTTCATCTTTAATATATTTTGATTTGAATACTTAATTACCAAGCAACCTTTCACATTACAGAAAATGACAAGAACACCAAGCATGGTCGTGTCACCAAACGAGGCCTTAGCTTATTACAATAGAATTGGTTGTTGTTGTTAGAAAGACGAATATTTGATTTTCAGCTAACTTTCCTAATTCCTAATTTAATTCTCTTGTTTATATGTAAAATCTTCATCAACTTCTTTCTGCTCACATTTCTTACATCAGGTCTGATTCCCTAGACCTTGAGCAGAATATCCAACTCCATCCCTTATCAATGAGCCAATTGCGGTAGGTACAAGTTTAATAAATTTATCAAATACTTTTATCCCTTAATCTATTCATTTCTTCATGTACCAAAACTTGATTCTAATTATAAAGACTACAAGGACATTTATGATGAAGAAAACAAATACCTGACACAATATAAACCTTCAACAGAACAGGCCATTTTTGAATAATCTAATTCAATTGGGACCTGCAATTGGTTCTATTCCTATTAAGTAATAAGATTTAAGAAACAAATAAACGATAGACTAGGGCATCCTACTTTTGCTTATCTAATAAGGTTGTTCCCTCCCTGAATCATAACATGGAACGTGAAGCAAAATCTCAAATCTTTTTATTGGTCAAGACTCAAGACCATATCAACCTTCAACAGAACAGGCCATTTTTGAATAATCTAATTCAATTGGGACCTGCAATTGGTTCTATTCCTATTAAGTAATAAGATTTAAGAAACAAATAAACGATAGACTAGGGCATCCTACTTTTGCTTATCTAATAAGGTTGTTCCCTCCCTGAATCATAACATGGAACGTGAAGCAAAATCTCAAATCTTTTTATTGGTCAAGACTCAAGACCATATCAACCTTCAACAGAACAGGCCATTTTTGAATAATCTAATTCAATTGGGACCTGCAATTGGTTCTATTCCTATTAAGTAATAAGATTTAAGAAACAAATAAACGATAGACTAGGGCATCCTACTTTTGCTTATCTAATAAGGTTGTTCCCTCCCTGAATCATAACATGGAACGTGAAGCAAAATCTCAAATCTTTTTATTGGTCAAGACTCAAGACCATATCAACCTTCAAGGCTGTTACATCTAACTCATATAGTGATCAAAGATCCATAATAGTTTTTCTAGAAAAAGTGGTTACTTGGCTGCTTAAAATTGCCAGCATCTTGTTAATAACTCAGTTTCTTGACTATATTACTCCACCTGACAGTCTTAAAATTGCAGTTCCCACTGCTCATACTATTTTTTTTTTCACATTTGCCTCAAAAGGTCTTTGGTTTGGTTGTACCACTTAACTAAAGAGGGGTAGCCAAAAAGAGTAGAGAGCTAATTATTCCCTTGGCACCAAGGCAATCCAATGAACCTGGTAACACCACTTCAGGCATCCTTATAATGTTCCTTTCCCTATTCCTCTTGAATTTACTGAAACTTTTATCTTGATATTCCCATTGCAATCAGAAAAGTAACTTGCTCTTGCATTAATCATCCATTTATGTCTCTCTCAAAGTCATTAAACAATTACATCAAAAATCTCCAAGAAAATTTCAGAAGCACCAGAGGATCTAAAATGAGAAGTAAGTAGCAATAATGGATCAATGTGAGTGCTCTAAGGAAGAATGGGACACGGATGCAAATGGGTAAATGAAATACAAAGACAAAATGGGTAAATGAAATACAAAGTGAGACTCACACGTGGCTAAGCCTAAAGGGTTTACCAAGATCTAACCTTATTTCTGTTCTATTGTCCCTTGCAGTTAGTTAACTTTGGTGGCCTTTTAGCACCAATTACTTATTCTCAAGGGCAATCAGGAAGAGGAGGTGTTTATGTGTCCACCACCAGGATTTGAAAAGCTTGGTGGCCAAGATAAAAGACGTTCTTAAAGAATTTACAAGAGCATGCATGATTTGAACGAACTGGAAAAATCTATAAAAGGTTATGGCTATCATCAAAGTCCAGCAGACTATACTATGTTATTAACAGATGATGATGATGATGATGATGATGATGATGAACTAGTTAGAGTCGTATAGCTAACTTTCCTATGTTAGATCTCTTGTAGACATATATCTACATGCAAATTGCTCGATTGAAGTAATCAACTTTTACTCAGATTTCTTATGGCAAAAGAAGTAGTTCCGTTAAATATGCGAGAAACAAACCTGGCCATTGATGAAATCCTCAGTCTTGTCAGCAAAGATATGCCGAGCCATTATGCTGCTGCGGTCACGTATGCAGCGTTTGTCCCCTTCAGACAAACCCAACACCGGCAGTTGAGTGGGACCAAAAGGAACTCCACCATGACTGCTATTAACAAATGAATGCAAAAAGCTTGACAATACTCTTTGAGGTGGGCCTGTATAATCAATAATGTATTATCATTAGAGTATGTATAGCTACTTGATGAATGAGGAAGATATGACAACTTTACCATTTAATTCTGGTTGAAGTTGGCGTAGAGGGAAGTTGGTTTGACCTTGACCTTGACCTTGACCTTGTATTCCATCCCAAATTTCACCAAGCCTCTGGGTCTGGTCATTTGCAGCATGGAAACCATTAATGAACCCTGAGCCATCACGCTGCAGAGGATGTTCCAACTCCGATCCAGGAAGAGCTGACAAGGCCTCTCCCCCTCCTGAGTAGATACCGCTGCCAGACCCAGACGTATTCAGTGTTGATGTAGGAATCTCCTGCAACCTTTCCTGCTTGCAGAACGACATTCTGGTTATTTAATACCAATTTCTAACACACAGTATGTCAATGCGACTTCCTAATAATTATCAAAGTTATGAGCTCAGATTGTACTAGTGCATCATCTCACACCGATATTGTTAATCAAACTATCTCAATGGAATCCATTTCAATTTTCATGCATCTTTACCTCACCTAAAAGAATTACTGCTCACACCATACTGCAACAAGGAATTGACAAGCATAGCATATCATTTTGGATGGTACAAGAAGGAGAAGAGCAAGTGGAAGAAAGCCACCAAGAACAACCAACCTAAAGGAATACAATAGGATTGCCAATAACTGAAAAAGCAAGTTCATATCTAACTTCAATAAAGGGTTTGTGCAAATCATTGTAAGGTTATAAACAAGAATAGGATATTAAGACTATCAGGTCTGCTAGAAATGCATACTGGCTTTCACTTCATGTATTTAGTAGACTTCTTTGATAATAAGAATAATATATTCAGATTTAGGATGAATCAATGACAACCACCAAACTCATCACCCTTTCCTTTCTATCGTTTCTTATGACCTTACACATTATCCATGAAAAGAAATTGTGATAAGTTTGGTGCTTGCCAAAGATTTGCACAAAGCAGTAGCACCACTTCAACTATCTCACTGATCCCAATACAGATTGAAGGGTTTATAATTTTAGAAAATGAATTTCATATTTCAATCTCAAACTTGGATAACTTCTTAGTCATCCAGGAATATAGTAGAAACAAAAGCTTCATTTTAATCCAATAACAGATAAGTTCTTGTCTTTCTATGGGGTTTTCTTGGTGAATCCTTGTTAAGATTGGGGGCAAAACATTTGACTTTCATGATAAGGGTTTAGCTAAGTACAGAAATCACCAAATACAAGTCAAATATGCTTTAGCAGTGATCTTTATGGTTACTAACAATCATGTTGGACTCCATAGGTTTATTTCTGAAGGAGATGGACTCCAAATATCCATCTCCCATAGATATTCTAACTTGATCGACGGAAAATATACAATTTCTTGATTTGTACTTGGCGTTCTTAAGGAGTTCCAGACTGGGATCAGCAATATAAACACAGGTAGTTCAAAACTAACTACAAGAAGTTAAAGAATTATGAGACGATGGAAGTACCTTTTGAGAGGAAGAGCCGATAAGGGCGTTGGCGAGAGCACCAAGAGGGTTTGATGAAGAAGAAGAACCAGGCACCGCACACGCCGCCCCACCCGTGACCAACTCCCTCATCGCCATTTCTAATACCAATCGATCCAATTTCGATTCAATCAGGTTTGTGACGCAATTAGTAGTCTCTTTGCACCGATAACGCGAACGATAGTAGAGGAGAGTAGAAATATACACGACACAATCGTAGTAGATAGATAATGGACCAATATTTGGGGCGTTCTTCTTTCCAAGAAAAAAAACAGTTGTATAATTATGATTATTATACAGATAAAAATGTCATTGGGTCTCACGTCTCGTTTGATAGTTTCTGTCTGGGAAAGTACTGTCTGATAAAGTACTGTCTGGAAAAGTTTTCTGACCGGGAAATAAACCATGTTGTTTGATTGTACATCTGATTGACTGAGCTGAATGATGAAAAAAAATAATAATTCAATAAAAAAAAATTAAAAAAATTATTTAAAAAGATTAATAATCCAATAAAAAAAGAAAGAGACGGGGTTTGGTGTATAATTGTCTTTCCAGCCCATTCAACCAGAAAGATATGATTTTGGGGCTTTCTGGGAAAGACATATCTTACCGGGAAATACCCCTTCTTTTGTGCAAATCAAACAGTCTTTCCGGTCCATTCAGCCAGAAAGATCTGTTTGAACCTGGAAAGATGCGTATCAAACGGGGCCTTAGATTGTTAGTTGACAAAATTGCAAAAATATCCCTTTGGTTGGCAATTTTATGTGTTTTTTGTCTAAAACGAAATGTTTGTGCACCACAGGTCAAAAATTGGATCTTTTTATTGTTTTTGGTCCATATCTATTTGAAAAGACCATTATGTCCTTATAATTTGTTTTTTCATTTGTTTATTATCTATTTTTATTCAAAATAAAATAAATAAATAAAAAAACTCACCACCATCCCGTTCACTCTCTCTTATACACAAACACACACATCTCTCTCTCTCTCTCTCTCTCTCTCTCTCTCTCTCTCTCCCTCTCTCTCCATAGCTGTGTACCTCTCATCTCCTTCACCCCTCTTTCATCTCTTTCTATATCTCAGGAAAACACACGAACACCCTAAGTGTCACCACCATCCGTTAGCACCGTCCAACGCCCCGATCTATAGATTTTTATGCCACAAATCAGTAGATGTCGGCCAGAAACCTTCACACGCCACCAATTTGTTCGTACATCGGGGAAGGAGCGGCGACGACTTCCTTCTGCACCATAGCTCTGGTGGAAGGAAGGGATAGTGGTGGTGACGGAGAAGTCGACATAGATTTCGTTTGCAACAGCCTTCATTCTTATCGGAAACAGCCGGCAGCTGCAAATCTCGCCGGAAACCACCACCAAAGCCGTCATTTGATTTGTCACCAACGCCTTCTTTCATCTTTCAATGGCGTTTCGACGAGGGTTTTCAGGGAGTCGTCGACGGAGCGAGGGTTTGCAAACCCTAAACCAAAGAATCGTCGACCAAGTTAGAGCTCCTTGCAACCATCATCGCTGCCTCCAAACTCGACTTTCAGTCCATCATTTTCGAGTAACTGTTCTGCCTAAGCCTTAAGTTCTTCTTTATGGGAAATCGATCTACCCTTCATTACTTGTTGTGTTGATATCTTATGAAGTTGATGATGAAGTGTGAAAATGGTGGATGGTCGTGTTGGTGTTGGATCTTGATTGGTGAGATGGTATTGCAATGGTAGGTTTTAAGGTTAAGGTAAGGAAAAGTGGGAAGAAGATGACTCAATAAGGGGGTAGGTTTTGAAAACTCATGTAAAAGTGATATAGAAGAAATTGATGATTTCTGGTTAAAACCCCATTTGTAAAAGCGAAATCAACACCTTGCGACAATGTAAATCATGATTTGTTCTTGTTCAAATGGGACTTTGTGTAACGACCCAAAAATCAAGGGTAAAAATTTCATTTTTCATTATAGTCAAACACAAATGTTACTTAATCCAACCATTCAAAAAGCATTGCTTAATGTAAGTCCCAAAACTATGGATCTTATGCAATATCAATCTTAATTGCTTAAAGAATGCGGAATGTTAATTAAGCAATGATTCAAGAACACACAAATTCACTTCAAATGTACACGATTCTATTAGGAATAAACCGTCTGGTACATATGAACTTAATGCAACCGAATACTAAGAATGGAACAACTAAAAACCCTAAACGGCTATCACCTATATATGACCTAAATACAAAGCTTAATAAAATCCCAAGCCCAGCCCACTAAACCTACTCAGACCGAAATCAATAAGGATTTCGGTCCACTTAACCGAAAACACTACAAACCCATTTAAATAATATAAAACTAGCATAAACAACATAAATATGTCCCAACAATCTCCCCCTTGGTGTATTGCTAGTTTTCTTCAACGTTTCTTTGCAAGATGAACATCTGATCAAACCATTGTAGCAGCCCACAGCTTCGTCTCAAAAATTTGGGCTATAAACATCTTTTGTAACTTGGGTTGGTCTAACAGTTGTAGCTGGCGTTTGTATAAGGTCATAAATAAGCACTCCCCCTTAATATCAGTGTTTGTGCTTCCTTGACAATAGGGAGGAAACTAATTCTTCTTTCTCACTCTCAGATGGTGATTATGTGGTTACAAGAACTGTTTGGGGAGGAATCCTCGCAGCTCGATGTAGTTCTTCTATGTGAGCATCCATCTGGTCGGGTGTTGGTACGTCTGACTTCCTGAATAAATCACTTTCTCTTACAGTCTTAGTTGGTGTAATCATCGCTTCATTGAATATCTCCGTCATTGGTTGAAATGAAGGAATGTCTTCATCAACGTCATCTGAAATATCTTCAGTCTTTGTAAACTTTCCAAATTTTAACCGCTCCTCTGTTCCATCAAATGAATATCCTTCGTCGATCATAGATGCGTCTTAAAAGGTAACCATGACTAAAAAGTCATTGTGGATCACAAAGTCATAAAGACCCTTCTCGCCACAGTTGTTCAAGGATGTAGCATTGACTTAGAAAGAGACTACTCGCAGTATCTGTGTGAACACGGAGGAACGCACTGCGATTTGTTGAGTATCGGAGAACTACTCGTGGCTATTTTGATGTTAGCCCCTGTATATCCTAGATCAAAGATCTCAATACAGTTTTTCAAGTTAACAAGTTAACTTGGCCCTTGGCGAGACGTTCAGTGATATCTGTTTCCCTGTTGGGTGAATCGCCCTGGTGTCGTGACAGTTCTTAGATAAAGAAAGCTGACAAGACCAATTTGACAATTTGTACAGTTTCAGACTTCCAATTCCTTAAATACCACAGTTCTTAGAAAGAAACTGTTTGGCTGACATTTTATACAGTGTCACACCAGGTATGAACCATTATCCGTCAATTTCATGGGTGAAAATATCTAGAACATTAAAATGTTCACCGTCAATTTAGAGATAGATGGATTTCGGATTTTGGGTTTCACTTAAAGTCATGGTGATAATGACTTCCAAGATCACAAACACAGAATTTTTGGTAACCGTCAGCCGAGTTGTTTTATACTCGAACCTCAAGGGGTACCGGTACATGGAAATGATTTAATGGAGAAAGTTCAGATATGGGTGAAGAATGGTTGGGTGTTTCACATTAGTCATGGTGAAAATGACTTTTGATCATTAACATTTGATGCGAAGACTCCTATTAAAACTGGTATATGTCTCAATATGGAAGAGTCTATCATTCGCATTTGAATCCTCCGTCAATTCCTTTCCAAGTTTCTTCTCCTTGCTCATAAAATTCTGATACAATCTCCTTGAGTCTCTTCTTCTTAAGAATTCACATTTCAAGACAAACGAAATTTTGAGATAAAAACAAAATAAAACTAAACTTAACACACAAATAAAGCAACTAAAAATTAAAATTAAAATACGCTCAAAACAATGTTTTTGGATTTTTGATTTTTTTGAAAAAGAAATAAAACATATTTTTGTATTTTTTTTTTGAATTTTATGAAAAGAAATAAAAACAAAAAGTAACATATTTTTGGATTTTTGAAATTTTATGATTTTTGTATTTTTAATTTTCCCCCCAAATTTGTGCATAGAGGAAAAATATGAACAAATTAACAAAAACAAAAAAATAATAACTAAATTTAACACATTTATTTTATTTCTCCCCGTAAAATTGTGCATAGAAGAGAAAGGAAATAAAATTGCGTAAATTTAAACACAAAAAAAAATTTACATACGAAACGAAAATGTAAGTGGTACGTCTACGTTCAACTCTGGAGCAAAAATGACATCTTCAAAGCTTACTACACCTTTACTTACCGTACCATTTTGAGTGATTTTACTTACTTCTCATGCCGCAAAGGAAACATATATATGGATGGATAGTAGATTTGATGATATGTTGCTATGACACTTGTATGGAAGTTCCGGGGGGTTCCTGTGGCAATATGTTAAGACCATGAGGAGGTTCCTATGGCATTTGGTATAAGTCCTTGGAGGGTTTCCACGGCTTCCTAGTATGTTTACATGTTTAGTTCGTATGATATTTCTATGATTAGGGAAGACCGTGCGGAGGAACCCACGACAGTGAGCCAAAACCACGTGGGGGTTCTAGTGGCGGCTAGTAAAGACCACGTGGGGGTTTCCCGTGGCACTTGGTGTAAGACCTTGGATGGTTTCCACGACATCCCTATATGTTTATATGCATGGCTTATGTGGTTTATGTAGCTTTTATAGCTAATATGATTATGTGATTATATGGATTGTGTGGGGTATGCTCTGAGGAACTCACTAAGCATTAGCTTATAGTTTGTGGATTTGTTTCAGGTACATCTGAGCCTAAGGGCAAGGGCAGGGCTTGCTGAAGCGGCATGCATTCTCTCTCAGGCGTTTTTATGGGACACTCTGATGTTTGGAATAATATTGTTGATGTTATGAATTTGAAAACAGATGTACTCGAGATTTTATGGTTTATTGGAAATATTTTTGACTATTTAAAAATGAAAATTTTCTTTTGAAAATTGGGTCGTTACAGTAATCAGTTGGAATAAACCGAAGGGTAGGTCGGGCACCCAGATATGCCTTACAAGGGTAGGTCGGGCACCCAGATATGCCTGACAAAGGTAGGTCGAGCACCCATGTATGCTCGGCAGTATCCGGTTGGAATAGACCGAAGGGGTAGGTCGGGCACCCAGATATGCCTGACAGTATGTTTGCATTATATGTGGTATTTGGGGAACTCACTAAGCTTTGTGCTTATAGTTTT